ACGGTGTCTAATATTTACTGATGTAAAATGTTGTCTTAAAATTACATATTTCATTTGTTTTAATTATTTTCTCGAAATGTGATTCATCAGTTACTGAAACTATAAAAAAACGGTTAAGATTTATATTAATACTTTCATCTGACAATTTTATTTATGAAATGAATATGGAAACTAGTTAAACAAATAAATTATACAATGGACATTATAAAACTCATATCATAGCATGCTTTGGTATAATTAAAACTTAAAAACGCCTCATTAGTTTTATAAACTAATTGAAGTACATAAACGCTGTTTAGATTACTAAAGTGGCTATAAAAACCAATAATTCGGACAAAATCAATTTTAAATATAGTTGTTTATTTTAATCGCAATATAATATTAAGACATTTAAAAAAAATCCATACGACGTTAAAAACGAATAATGGTTAACACAATTTTAACAGGGTGGACCATTTAAAGTGGAAGCATCAGGCAAGCAGATGTGGTACTCAAGACCAAAGACGGCCATTTACAAAACATTTTTAAAAATATAGCTTTATTATATCTCCTTGATCTAAAATAAATTATAATCGTAATGAAAATAAATAAATGTTGTGTACATATATTTTTTCCAGAAAAAAGTATATCTATTTTAAATGGCCTACCCTGTATTTATCATAGCTAGCGTTTCATTTAAAATAAATTTGTTTTAATTAAAATCATGTTTTTTAAAACTATTCATTTACCAAACACAATCTATTGTAGTCTATAGTGTATAGTGAATACTATCTTGCATACAAACACATTATTATCTTTTATATAAGAGGTTCTAAGTTAACATTAATCAAATCAATTTTTGTTTTACAATTTCTTTCTCTTATTGAAGAAAACAATCAATTACTTACTGGACTGAGTGGAGCCTGCCAATAGTGACATGTCATGTGTGACGATCTGACCCCATTGCATGTTGGCTAAGGTCCAAAGTGGGTCCATTTCATCGCCATCGGGAAAAACTTGCAGGCTGACCACGCGAGGATTTGGCAACTCGTTTCCATAGGCGGAGGTGGCTGGTGCATGAACGCCTAAAAAAACAGGTAGAAAATTAACTATACATATTTTTTTTTAACAGCTTTCAGAACCTTACGTCCTATGAGCTGTTGGGCTAAAATTTCTCCTTACTTCGTGTTTTTTTTAGATGGTAACCCAATGGTTAATCCATCCATATTTGATGATTTTGTTATTAGAATTAATCTAATAGGGCTGACATGTTATTGGTGCAGCAATGCCAGACAAGGGCTATTTTCACTTGGAAACATATTGCTATATATATTTTCAAGTGAAAACCGTTGTCACTGCTGCCTGACAACAGGCTGCTCGAAGTGGGTATCGAACCCGGGACCTCTGAAACAAGTCCCGTCGCTCTTAACCGCTTACCTACTGGCGAGCTCATAACTATATATAATGATAAGTAAATTTTTAGAGCCACATATTTAAGTACAACTCTACAAAGGTGAAAATGAATTCTGTGAATATGTACTACTTATTCACTACTTATTGAATTGACCATACAATTTTTGTACCACTCTCCAGCTAAATTATTTTTAACGGCAACTGAACTGCAGATTCAGCACTTTCAATCTATTCATATTGTACATAGCAATATTATTAATAATGCAAGTTGATCCATAGAAGAATGAGCAAATGCCTCATGTCATGTCTTACAACACAAGTTTTTGCCATAGTGCAAAAACTCCTTTGTAAATTGTTGCAATCTTGACACGTCTCTTTAATAATGCTAAAACCGGTATACGAAGAAAAGATAGCATCTTTAATTTTTTGCTAATGAGACTTTTATTTGTTATTCAATGAAAGAAATAAATCGATAAAATTTTTCTTGATTTACTAATAAAAGTATTAGCAACATCAATAAATAGCAGTAAAATTTGTTAACAACGGTTCTGGTAGGTATCTCAAATGATAATAAAATATTTCCACCAACTTCTTTCATTGATACAAATATCTTCTATATTGGTTGATGCATGTGATACATTATATCCACAAATGGCGTAAATCAAAATTATCCATGATAAAGATATTGTACTTAGTTCTGTATCTAAACCTATAACAACTCATGCCATAATTAAAAAATATGGATAAAAAAATTGATATTTAATAATTATAAATAAATATTGAAAGCCTGATGTTTATCTGGTGCAAGTACAAATGAGTTTCTTCATTTCAGAATGAGTATTTATTTGTCAAATATAAAGCATTGCTACGGAATGGTAAAACATAACATGATTGAAAAACAGTGCTGCTACCACACAGCCAATATTTGTTCAAATAAAATTTCCAGCAATACACATCGTGTACATTCCAAGCAATGACATCGTGTTGGCAGAGAAAAATATCATATTTTCAAATCTTCATTTTGAAAACAAAGTTTTCCAATTGACATAATGCAAACAAATGTATAATATTGTAATAACTGTTTTAAATCTATTTTGTATTCTAAAAATGTATTTAATGCAGAATGCAGATGTCAACGGTGATCAGTATGAAACTCGAAACAGAATATACCCAGTGTATTGCTATGAGCGTCGCTCACTATATCAATCTTTCCATTGTATAAGCCTATAATATTTTTAGATGCTTCTTTTGACAATGAACCTTATTACTGTGCAAAGTATATTTGATATTGAAAGAAAAATTAACATATAATTGCGAAAAAATGACCCGGCCGGTCTTTACCAATCTGATAATCTTTACTATTATCAAAACACATTTGTCATTTGATACTTTCAAACAATTTGGAATTTTTTTCAGGTTGGCAAATTGGATTTTTTTGGTGAAAATAGACTTTTCCTTCGCGAAGTTGAAAAGCAGGAGAGTAACAAATTTTTACTAACAACACTATCAATGAGTATATAAAATAGTCAAAATATAAATGATTAACTGATTAATTTTTACATACCGTCACTGTAAATTGGAGGTACTAGACGTCCATAACGGCTGTTGGCACTTCCTTTTCCAGGTTGATTTAGATTGTTGCAGGATCCGTCGAAAGAACGATATTTAGTATGTGGACAAGACAAAGGTTGGGCGCCGCAATTTTGGTCAGTAGCCTCTTGAGGTGCTATATAGTTCCAAGGCTCGTTTGGCAAATCGCCACCAGAAGGGTAACTGGAATAGAATAAAAACATTTTGTTAGAAAAAATATTTATTCGAGCACTGGCATTATTGTTTTTACATCAAAGTAGAATTCAATCACTCTGTGTTATTTTCAAGTTCCTGATCATTCTAAACATATTTTTTGCGCAGCACTACCCAAGGACTATTTTTACTGGAAAACATATTTTGATCTATATTTGCAAGATTTGCAAGATCTGATATCAATGCTGCTTAGTATCTGAATGTACGTAGCGCAGGATTAGAACCTGCAACTATTTGGTTGCAAGTCCGAGTCTGTAAATCTCTAATTCCCTATTTTAAATTTAATTAAATATAAAGTAGAAAAAGCATGTGCATATATGCTTTAATGTAAATAATAATTATTTGTGATGCAAAATTTTTGCCTGGGTTTGCAATTGCATTGAAAACAATTTGTAAAAACTGCTTGAAGATTTGTGTTAATTAGTTTAAACCGGTCAAGCAGCAGTTAAAGCTGTTTCGCTTTTTTGTAATTAAGAGTTTTTTCAAATGTTGTCCAAAATTGTAATTTTGTTCAGGAGGACACATTCGTTATATAATGTGTGCAAAATGTCAATAACATCTTATTGCCATAATGAATGTGCAAAAAAAGTAGTTTATACAAGCGGATGATGTGCAATAGTATTGAATACACTTATTGATATTTCAATATCATCTTTACTTTTTTCCCATAAAGTGGACAAATTATTGAATGCTTGAGGTGGGATAAAAATATTCCTTTAGCATACCACAAATATTACTATTAAAATGATAAAATCCCCTATTCCTTAAGAATCTGACTGGGTAATCTGATCCAGACCAGTTGAACCAGTAAATTTTAGCAAAAGAAATGATGTCTCTCTAGTTAGAACTAATAATATTAGAGTTAACTACGTTTGTTTATTAAGATTTCTTTGTTTTGCTAACAAAGACTTGATTGAATAGATATAACTACTTTATCAATCATGTTTTCATCATTAATTGTAAGAAAATCAATTCAGGGAGACAAAACTGTTTGTTGCTTACTTACGGGATTGTAAATCTTGTTATTATTTAATTTGATTTTTTGTAATTGACAAAATTGACAAAAATTTAGAAAATGAATTAAAATAAAATTCAGAAATTCGTTATATATGTACTCATACTGATATCTCAAAAGGTGAGTAAAATTCTCGAACCCTTTCGTTAGTGGAAGAGCTGGGGTATGATTATTTATGCAAACAGTTTTCTTAAGAAGACAAAATCTCCATCTCCATTAAAATTGAATAGAAGTAATGAAATAAAGATGCCCAACATTTTGTTTGAGATAAAAAAATCTATTGAAAAGTAATTTTCGTGATTTTTTTTTCAACAGACATTTAAATTTGTCCAAGAAGTAGATCCTTTCAATACTAAGCTTATAATCATAATTTGTTAATTGCATAGTAAGACTTTACGCTTCCTCTGAGTTTATTTTTAATATAGGAGTTAAATGCGTGATTAATTATTATAGTACGATTAAGAAAATCATGATATTATTATTATTTTGCTATTTTCTGCGTATGTCGCCAATAAGTATGCTAACGAGCATCTAAATTTTACGGATATGAACTGAATCGAATCTGTAGTTCGATTTAAATTCGAAAGCTGATAACATTCAATTGTGAAGCGATTGATTGAATTTAGGTTATATAATATAAAATAAATAGCAATATAATTACACAATGCCATAACATTGCATTCACCGATCTTAATGCAATGAATGTTTGAAAAAATACCTCAATCAGTGAACGTTCATTATATATATTAGTTAATGCGTAGGAGAGAAACTCTCAAATTGAATCGCGAAACAAAAGTATAATAAAATATCAATCTTATTACGATTTGCATTATATTCAATAATGATTTATGCAAATATATTACGCAATGCTACTCTTGAAACAGTCCGTGCAAATTCATTATTACTTATATGCAAAGTTCATGGTTTTGAACACAAATATATATTAATTCATAGTTTGGTTCTGACATTAAAGTTTAAATATGACGTAACCGGGGTAAGTAGAAACATGTGTTTCTCAAAAGGATCATAAAAGATATTAAAATATTTTAAACCTCGGTTGTGCTTATAAATCATGCTGCATAATATTGTCATAGCTCTTGCCTCGCAGACCGACGCGATAAACAGAACTGTGCAGGTCCGTCAGTTTTGATAAATAATTTAAACTTCAACGATCTATCATAAAATTTTGGTTTGCGTTATTATTACCGATTAATTTTAAAATTTATATAATTTATTTCGTTTCAAATTTATCAATATTTGATTATGTGCAACAATTTTTGTGATTGCTAAAGTGCATAAATAGTATTATTTTGATTAGTTTTCGCACTTTTTCTAGAAATAGATTAATTGTGAAATAATTAACAACAGTTGTAAAATTATTTTTACATTATTCGGTGGAGGCATAATATCGGTAGAGGATCTCAGAATATATTGATTTAACAAATAAACTGCTACATTAAGCACCTAGCTTTCCTACTATAGAAAAAGCACATTAAATTATTTATTGTTCAAGTCCAAACATGTTCAGCCAACCCTCCTATAACGCGGTAATTTGACGACGTGTTTTCCATATTACGCGCAGCTGAAATTGCTACATTTCTCCGATAACACGGTTTTGGTTCAACAGCCCGCAAGTAACCTATGAACAACTTTAATAACTAGATACTGTAAAATGCTTTAATGTAAGTTTTATTATTGACTATTTTATCTATGTAAAAATAAATATTCCAGTTTATATCATAGATGTGTACGACATCGCTTTTAGTAGTGTCAGAAGCTCACAGAACGTTAGTTTTTTTAAAACAAATTTCTGTTGCAAAATTATTTGTTGGGGAAGAGTCATTTACTTCTATTTTGTCTTATTATTATTTTTTTAAATTATTTACTATCTTGTCTTTTGTATTTATTGATTTCTATAGAACGCGTTGCAAATAACGTGATTTGTACAATGTGTCTTATAGCGCTGTTCCCCCCATACAACGCCATAGTTGGCTCGCATAGAACGCGCAAATTTTGTTGTTCACCAGGATTTTCTTTTAATATAAAAAATAAATTGCATGTAATTTTTTATGAAATTATAATCAGTGCTGTAAAACATTTAAAATGTTGACAATGGCACAATGTGTGGCATATTCATAAAAAGTACATAATAATTATTTACCAAAATTACTACATATAATAATGTCTATAATGTCTATAATAATATATAATATATAATGTCTATAATAAAATAGTTATATGCACACTAAATATAAGAGCAAAAACCATTTAAAATTACTTGATTTGAAAGAGCACAATATACATAAACATAAAATATGAATTATGACCAATTCATTATGTGGAAACTCACTATGTATTTTATTATCTGTTATTAACCAGCTATTAAAATATCCTTAATATTGAGCACAAAATTTAAACAAATATAAATTTCTCGTTTCGTTTTCAACTTCTAATATTTATGGATGCTAAATACTTAAAAGATTACAAAACAAAATAATATGTATACAAATTTTTCGTATTTATCGATTTTTTATTATCGATTTTATTTACAAATTTAAATAATTTTCATTTCTTACACAAGATACTCATATACCTATTTGCCATCATTTTATTAATCTGTTTTTATTAACATGTTGGAAATATTTTTCATTTCGTTGAGACTTATGGGCAGAGAAAGTGATGTAAAATTTTTATTGTTAGAAAATGTTGTAAGATATTTAATTTTGTACATACTTTCCTAACATCAATTGCCTAACTAATTGATTTAAAAGTTACAGATATTACATAAAAATTACATTTGAACAGAAACATATCTAGTCAAGGATATACTTGAACCGTGTTAATCTTGAAAATCCATGAAGTTTTATTGCTGTATAGTAGATATTCAATTTCTAACAAGTATATTTCATTCCTTTACATACCTATTTGTATGTAAAAATCACAAATTAATTATTAATAAAAAATTTGAATAGTTGGTATTGGTATTTTGCCTTGAGGCAAGTTACAAAAACTTCCCGATATGTGTGAATAATCAACTTAATACATAATAAATAAATTAATTTAGGAAGTATTTAAGTATTTATTATTTATTAAAGTATTTCTAGTGGATTTATTACACATAATTAAAAACGAACGAACATGTTAACTCGAAGTATTTTCAAAAAGCAAATTTTCACAAATCAATAATTTTCATAATTGAACCAGTTTCGGTAGCACTTTAATGGTTTAGTATGTTCATCAAGACCAAGTACTCTATCGTTAAACCAAGTGAATCGTCTAATTTTAATTTTAACAAACGTCAATCAAACTACTCATTTTCTCAAATTTTGATAATTTTTTTTAAATTAAACTACTTGTAAAAAGGCCGTAATATTTCAGTATGTTCTATAAGACCATGATATATATCGCCAAAAAAAGTTCCATAAAAATCGTTTTAATTTTTTTTTCAACAGTTAATTACAAGAAAACGGCTCGGTAGATTTTCACCTAAAGCTAATCAGTATCATTCTCAATTGATATTTTTCGAACAGTTTTTGATTTTTTAAAATCGATTTGGTAGTATGAATTTTTTTTAACACTTTATTACAAGAAAACAGCTCGGCCGATCTCTATCAAAAACTAATCATTACGATTCCCAACCAATATGTTTCGAACGGTTTTTGAATTTTCAAAATCGATTCAGAATTGCGGGCTAAAACGTGGACGAAACATTTTTCACTTTTCTGCTATTTATAAAGAAACGGCTTGGCCAATAGTCCTCATCAAGGAGCATCGAATGGCTTTTAAATTTTTGAAATCGGTCCAGCCGTTTTTGAGAAAACGGCGATTTACGGCAAAAAATCTGTTCACACACATACTTTTGCCAAATTTGGTCTCATTCGATTCAGAATGGCGTGAAATGTTGAGAAAACATAAAATTAGCAAATAGCATTTTTTTATGAAAACAAACTTCTTC